AACCCAGCTTAAAATAAATCTTATTTAATTTTTCATATTAAATAGGGGAATTTGTCGGCAAATAAAACAGTTTTGCAGGTCAAACATATGTCATATCTTTCTTAGTTTATTTGATCGAGTCTCACCCCCTCGAGTCTTGTGTTTATCCTTCGGGATAGATACAAGATTTAAGGTAAAGCGTTTTTTCATTTAAATTATGAAATATAAGGGGTCAGTTTGATTTTCATATATATGTATATATATATATATATCACTTGAAATATTACTATTTATAAAATCTTTCACTCACGTGATAGACCGACAGCTTCTTACGGGCACCACACCCCAAACTTTTTATCGCCGACAAACTTCTAAGAGCTCAATTTGCTAACTTTCAAGAATATTTTTCGCTCTCTCAAAAATTATAAAAATTCACTCCATTATATTCTATTCCTTAAAACAATCTTCATATGTATACTAATTCCTAAAAATGAGAAAATTAAGATATTAATGTTGGTTTTGATTAAATTTTCCTGAGGTTTTAAATTAAAATTACTGCTCTCGTTATTGCAGCACAATAGTGGAATCCCAAATTTCCACTTTGGATGCATGCAACGAATGATCCATAAATGGATGGTTGGGATTAAGATGATTAGATAATATTTGTATTTAGTATATATAAAAGTGTTTTTCTTCTCGTTTTCCATTCCGTAAACCTCAATTTCTCATTCTGTAGGCTATAAGAATGCTGAAATCGAGAGTAGCCTAGGGAAAAAGGAAGGGAAATAGGAGAAGGATAAGAAGAGGGGAAAAAGAAGAAGAAGAAGAAGAGAAAAGAGGATTAGGAGAGGAGAGAAAGATGAGAAGGGAAGAATAGTGGTTAAGTGATAGATTTCAAAGTTTGCATGAGAAATAATATTGAGATTATTTATGAAAGGAAGTATTTTTGGAGTGTTCATCTTAAAGGGGTAAATCATTGAGTGGGTAAGATGGCATAAATTCTAATACTGAAATCAAATTTTCTGAAATCTGTGGTATGTACATTTATTGTTAATTAGATTTTTGTGTGCAGCACAATAGAAATTCTTCGTAATTAGGAAAAAATTTATAGTTTACTATTCACGTGTGATTGTTAATACAAGCATGCAATTAAGTTTATTTTGAGTATACAAATATTTGGCTAATTGGGCATTTTTAAATAAAAAAATATGGTAGTATAAACAGCATATTTGTATACACTATTATTCAAGATAAATATATTTAAATCATATGTTTATTTAAATGTTTAATTAGAAAAATCTTTAACTTGAATCATATGTTTATTTAAATGTTTAATTAGAAAAATATATTGAGCTTAAGAAATATTATGATACTGGGGTATAAGTTGACAATGACATGTTTAAGATACTTCGACAAAGGTGAGCCAATAAATAACAATGATAACTTATGCAAGTAGTGCAACAAAAGTAAGCCTCTATATAAATGTGAAACTTGTATAGGTTGGACGAAAAATTTGAGTTTTATGAAGCCAAAAGGATTCTCAATTTAATATGTTTAGGACACATATACAAGTAGGGCAACAAAGTTGGGCCCGACCAATGAACTTAATCCTACTAATATGATATATTCTAAAGCTGAGAGAGAATATTCCCTTCTATGCTAAGTAATAATTGAAATAAGAGAAAAAATCATATAAAAAATAAACTAGTCCGATATCAGCTGTACGTGTGTTAAAACAGTATTTATAACATTCTAAATGTTAATATTTTTTTAGAGTTCTTTAAAGGAAATGTTTTAGGTACTATTAGACAATTGTTGTTTTAATAATTTTCTTTATAATGATTATAAGGAATAAAATTAGATTATGTTACTTATTTAAAGTCTTAGGTTATTGGAGTTATGTATTAGATCTCTTTACCCAATTAAATCTCATAGTTCAGTAGATTATTATAAATGTTGTTTTCAGGAAAAGGAAAAGAAAATGTTAAGAATGAGTAGAATTATTAAAATTTTGTGATCATATTTTGCTATATATCTATTTTAAGAAAGAAATTTTTTTGAGATAAGAAATCTGACAAATTTATATTTTTTTAAGAATTTTATTGTGCTTTAGAAGCTTTGTTAATATGTTTAAATGAAATATTTTGAATTGTTTGCACTCAACCTAAATGGTTCAATTTTACTGGATTTGTGTAAATAGGAGTGATGTATTTTGTGCTATTGCTGATGGATTTAGGTGATTGAATTTATCTCTCACTCTATTCCGGTGCATAGAATACCTGAAATGATCAGGTTGTGTGGAGCAAGGAGGCGTCGGGGGAGTTTTCTATTGGTTTGCTTAGAATGTTATCAGACGCAGAGGCCATCCAATTGAATTGTTTTTCATAAAGAAATATGACAAACTAAAAGAGGTCTGTTGTGCATGGCGAGTTATGAATGTGGTGAGGCTACTGATGTAGACTGTTTAGCGGTTAGCTGCGGGTAAAGGAAACATAGACCGAGGACCGGTAAGCGGATTCAAAGTTCACTTATGAAAGCAACGGTTAGGGCAGCGGGGGTAGCAGTTTCAGACGAGTAACTCAGTCGTGTCTGAATTCCCTTGCTTCGCTCCGCGCCTCCGGTTGTATGTTAGACTAGCAGGCGCAACGTGAAGGAACGACTCGTCCTTCGCTACGGCCTGCTGTGTCAAATGTATGATAGGCTGCGAACGACGCCTAGGGTTTATCCCGGTAGGTTCTTCAGAGGTCTGTGTATCTCAAGTCAATCCCCTTTAGCAAGGCGCTAGCTTACCAAAAAAGATGCATATACAGTTGTCGAGGCAGTTCACAATTTCATACCTTCGTAGCCTAAAATCAATTTGAGTACCGGAGCGGGAAAAACATTGCTGACTCAGCGATAAACTAATGTCTCAACAGGGGAATCACCTTGGAAAACAAAAGTAGTGGAAGGGGGGTTGTGGTGGGTTCGATTCTCATTTATGGCACCGCAGGAGAGGTTTTCATTTCAGACGTATGTTGCATGCAATTTGATGCATTTTCCAATCCGGATAAAAAAATCCACAGTTGTGGCCTGGTCCCCTTCGGGATTTTTTGACGTATGCAGTCATCGAGTACTGTAAGCCGTTTACAGAGAAGATTTTCTCTCTCAGTCCGCCCATACAGTTGTGGCACATGAATGCCAAACAAAGAGAAGAACTACTAGAAAACAACGGGTTGTATGCATCAGTCAGAAGAAGAAGCAAAAGGGCAGTGCCTACAAAGCCATCCAAGTCGAAGCATCGGTTGACGTCGGTATAGGATCGTTGGCTGAACCAAGAAAGAGTGCTACAAGGGTTGTAGACGAGAGAGAGGGTGTCCATGACTAGAAGGAGGTCAATCAACAGAAATCGTCTTTCATCCGTTTTGAAAACAAAACGATCAGATGGATAAGCAAATAGATCTTATCTTCCACCTATCAACATAGAGCACAAAGTCATTTGATCCATATCAAGAAGGCGATTTCTTTCTAGTTTCCGAGAGTCAGTGGTCTCAGGTTGATTAGAGCACTTTTCTTTCTAAACATGATCTACAGCAAGCCCGGTCGGTGGAAAGAAAGCAGACTTTCTATCATCTCAAAGAGATGTGAAATGATATTGGAGATATATTCAATCAGTTAAATTGCACTCGCATCTATTATGTATCTTGTCAGTTGATGGAAGGATCTTCGTAAGGCCCAACAAAAAACAAAAAATCTAAATTTTAATGAACTTTCTTAGAGACTATTTCACAAGTGTGAGATGAGTAGGCCGAATTATGGTTTGAAGAAAGCTTTTGAGTGGAGCTCATAAAATGCAAAATACTGTTTAATATGAAGTTTGGATTAAAGTTTTTGGTAGCCTAGAAGTGGTTTGATTAATAAGTGCAGGCGAGGCCTATAGGCAAGGAGAGAGTGAAAACTTGGTTTGCATAGGAAAGATAAGTTGAATAAATTCGAATTAGATTTTATTCAAGCTCATCCCAGCATCCCCTTTCGACCCCACATTTGTCTTTTTCGTCTTGTATGGAAAATGCATGACAAGTCGTAGATATCTTTTGGAAGGTTATTGTCTTCATCTAGGGCTTCGAGCTACTGCAACTTGTGTTCAACACTAAGTTTGTCAACTAAGGTAGTGGCTTTTTTTAAAGAAAAATATGAGGTAATGAGGTATCATCCTTTGTACCTTCGGGCGTCCATCTTTCATTAAGTACTTCCAGTAGTAAGAAATTATAAAAGATGAATCCAATATGTGTAAGATATGTGCACTGTGAAGACTTTAACCAACGTGTATTTTCTTGTGTAAATTTAGGAAATTGTGGAGGCGCACCGTTGTGTTTTCCACCATGTAGTATGCAGTAACTGTTTGAATTTTTGTATATTCAGCATACTATGATTTTATTCTAAAGCAAATCCTGATTAGATTCAACAACTTCTAGTTTTATAATTTTTCTAGCGTTCAAACATTGTTATCAATTCCTCTTCTACCATGTTTTGTTTGCCGAAAAAATGACCGAAAAGATGGATCCCAACAGGGTGGGGAACTAGAATACATATTTTTTAAGGAAATTGTACATACATACCACACAATTTCTTTGTATTTTTATGTCTAACACCTAAAGTTTGATGTTTACATTTATAATGCTGACTTCATGAGCCTATGCATGAAAAGGTGTACTTTTAAAAAGTTAGTAGTAGTGATATTTTTTATGAGATTAATGATTAGAGTTTTATCTATGTAAATAAGAAAGTTTAGGTGTTGGATATGTGAATACATAAGAATTGTGGGGTATGTATGTAAATGCCCCTTTCTGTTTGGCCATCTTTTGTCTGGGATATCCTAAGAAACTCAAAATCACTCGTATTGTTGCTGATTAACAGGGTTGGTTTTTTCCAATTGCTTGTTAGTACTTTCTAGCATCCACTCAGTCTTCTGAATCCATAATGTTGCCTGCTCTATACACTTCCTTTTTTTTTCTTTTTTTTATTTTTTGAACTTTTTGAAGCAGACAAGTTTGGATTTTCAGGCCTGGTTGACTTATATTTGGAGAAGAGTTAAGAATCATGGTCTGGAAGAGGATATTGCTGATGATCGTTTACAGTTTTGGATTGATAATGGCGTACATTTGCCGAATTCACAGGATGCCGTGGAAGGTAATTTTATATATGATAAAGTCTATAATTAAGATTCCATCGCTAGTTACCATGACATTATTCTTGTTGAGTTTTAGAAAATTTTCAACTAATGTGGCAAAAGGGATGTCAAACATTTATAGTATAAACCTTGTTTGTAGTGTTTTTAAGTCCAATGGAATGCAAGCAATGTGCTCTTTGTAAGACTAAATTCAACTCTCAGACTTCATTCTTCTTTTGCCGAAAACTAGGCGCTCAATATCTAAACAGTTAATTTTTGTCTCATTTTACTAAAACATATGTTGATATGATCTTTTTGTTCTGTATCTACTATGATTTCGTTTAGGCGGCAATTTGGTTGCAAATATTTAGAATTTCGAGTATTTTAAATGCATTGTATTTGAAAATCTTAAATTTATTTGTAATGACTGAAACTCTGAAACCTTACATTTTTTTAACAACTTTTTTTTATTTATTTTATTGGTTTTTATCTTGCATTTTCACAGTGGAGCGTGCATTATGGGAGTTAAAAAAGTTGGGAATTGAATCCCAACTCTGGGAGGCATGCCGTAAAGGGGTGAACGAAGACTCGAGTCAACATGGAAGCTCAACTCCATCAGAAATTTGAGTTCATTTGGCTGTCAGTATATTTCATGGTGATGAATTCCAACTCTTCTGTTAGTTAATTTCCAAAAATCAAATTGGATGAGATTATCTTATCAGGGGCCCCTTGATTCAGATCATATATATGTTATTAGTAGTTACTTCAATTTTGAGATCAATAAAATTTTATTCATTCATTCATTTATTGTTTTATTTCTTGGGCAATTGTTTGTAATTAGGAGAAAAAAATGGGTTAGATGAATGCACTATATGTTTAATGAATTAATTTTATAATGCACTCATTTTGGAGTAAATGTAATATCTATAGATCTATGTTGATCAAATTTGAGGAGGGACATCTTATATATATACTAATTCTAATTTGCATTCAGGTTGTATGGTTGGAAAAGGTAAATGTTTTCCCATTCATTTGTAAATAGAAAATATTTGCAGTTTAGAAGACCTATTTTTATGCAAAACTTTGGGCTTTATTCTGAGTCATGCATCTGGATCATTTAGAAATAAAATTGAGATTAGGTTCTCTTGACATGGACATGGGGCTTCGTTATTCTGATTCTGAATTATTGAGAGATCATCACAACAGATGAATATTATGCTCGGCTAAACGCTGAAAATGAATTAGGGTAAACGCAATCAATTTCTTTTATGTAGTGTTTTAAGTGCATTACATTGTACATTTGACCATTGAGAATTAAGGTACACGCAATCAAGCTAAATTTATTATTTTACATACATACTTGTATGTATATGTATATAGACTTATTAAAGTACTACTAAATAGAGTATAAACTTTATGATCGTCTCCTTGCATAAGCATTGCTCCTAAGACGATCTTTGAAATTCGCAAACCTCGTGTATGGTCGGTATAGAAGTCCTGCATAAATTACTTGATTTTTTTTTTTTGCTTATATAGGAGAATCCCTCATGTGTATGTATGTATATATATTAAGGCATTATTAGATTTCAAGATTTTATGTTTTTTGTTCAAGATAACAATGAGTGAATCAAAGTATTAGGGTTAAGACTCTAAATTTAGTGTACAGAGTATTTTGCAAACAGTGAAGTCCTGCATAAATTACTTGATTTTTTTTTTTTTTTGCTTATATAGGAGAATCCCTCATTGTGTTTGTATGTATATATTTTATTAAGGCATTATTAGATTTCAAGATTTTATGTTTTTTGTTCAAGATAACAATGAGTGAATCAAAGTATTAGGGTTAAGACTCTAAATTTAGTGTACAGAGTATTTTGCAAACAGTCAGCAGGTCATTTTCATACTCATGGCTTGAAAACATTGGGGACGGATAGAGTGTGCGGAGTTGTAACCTAATTTTTTTAAACAATTCAAGATATTCACAAAATATAGCCCTAGGGGTCTTATTTATATTGAAAGGACCATAAGATGACAAGAAAATACAACACTGCACAAAAAGAGATAAAATAGACTATATATATATATATATATTCAAATATTCCCTAAATTCAAATTTTTAAATAAAATAGGAACACATAATATTTAGGGAGTCAAACACGGGCTTCACATTCGAAGCGATGATCATCATAAACTCTCCTAGAAAAAAAATTTTACATCCGAACTGTGAATGTCCGGACAATATCCCAAATGCAGCTAAGAAGGGGAGGTATCGGACCTTCGCCCTCCTCACTGCATCCGGGCCATTGTCCGGATTTCCGGACTCCGGATGTAAAACTTGCTCTCCTGATACAAAAAAATGTCTGGATAATTACATTGATGGTGCTTGTGCAAAAAGACCAGTTGAGACTTATTGCGGCTTTTAACCAGAAGCCACACAAGTCATCTGATAGTTGGATGAACTCTACATCAAACAATATCGCAATGCTCTTCAAAAGAACCCAATATAACCTCACCTGACATAATCTACTCAACATTTGAGATTGGGTGAAGGGTTGTAGGGAGAAAAATGAACAGATGCAGCTGGTGAGGTTGCAGAAACTATACTACCTGCAAAGAATTTTGGAGTCAAAAATATCTTAGCATGGTGTTAAATGCTTGACATTGTAAATTTCATCTTAGTAAGCAATTCAACAATGCATGCATTTGGTCCAAGCTTTACAGGAATGGATTCTCCAAAATGGTTCACACAAGAAACGTTCAGGGCGAATACAAATAAACGCATAATTGCATTCCTTATATACTCGTAATTTCCTACGAAAATGTTTCATGGCTTAGTACATTTTATTTTGTAAATCAAATCCTACTAAATGATCAAAAGGCAATTTATGCGTATGCTTGGCAAATGACGCAGCAAAATCAGAATATACGTGTAGAAATCTATGGTGATGACAAAATTATCACGAGTAATTTCAACTATAGGTTGTCCTTTAATAGTAATAAAATCAAGTTTCCTAAACTAGTAGTAATAAAGCAACAATATATATATATATATATATATATATA